ATCATGCGAGAGTATAAAATGTTCGATGACACCCGAACTTAGCCCTTCCTTACTTTATGTTTTTTTTTTTTTTTTTTTTTTTTTTTTTTTTTTTTCCTTTTTTTTTTTTTTTTTTTTTTTTTTTTTTTTTTTTTTTGCTTTATTTCAGTTGTCTGGCGAGTGCTCTTTAAATTTCAGTTTCCAATCCAATATAATTTTTGAATACTTCAACTGTGGCTGTGAAGTAACCGCACACACTCCTAGGTGAGAGTTATTTTCTCCCCAATTTCCTTGTGCTTAGGAGCAATATTTCTGGTTTGTGCTTGTGCAATAAATGTAAATACTTTTTTCTTTTTTATTTCAGTGAATGCCTAATTTTTTAACAATAGTCTCAATTGTTTTAATGTTAATTTAAAAGTAAATTTCCTAAAATTATGCTTAGCAATTATTACCTATTTTCACATAATACGTAACTAAATTAGTTAAATGAAATGCTTGTGAAGAACTTTATAACGATTTACATCTACAATTATGCTATATTAGTCTAAAGAAAAGATTTTTCTGTATCCCTGAATATTTTTATTATGGTTGAATTAAAATAATCACTCAGATTTCAGGAAAAATTGTAATTACGAGCAGGCACTGAAATCAGTGTTTTACGCTCACTATATGCCAACGCTGGTACTCCAATTCCACACATACCTACTTTTAATGAATTAATCTCTGCCAACCTGTAGGACCTCCCGTCCTCATTCTGCTTCAAAAACGCTACTAAAATATGCAATGAAAAATGCCGCAATGTCATATCGCTTTTTCCAAAGACATTTCATTTTTGAATTAATTGAATATATGTCGAGACCACCTGCAATCTGAGCCACGTATGTCGCGCACACGTTAACTGTGTAAATATTTCCATATCATTGAATCGGCAACTTGCGCACACACGTAGACTTGGGGATATTTACACAAATTATATTGCATATCTGCTGACGCGACAGCCTCATCATTGTAAATCAAATTTGTCTGTGACATGACGCGAACATTTTGTAGCATTTGCCAGAAATTTGAATACATAAGTATGTGAACGTGTATATATACTTATGTATATTGCATTACATTACTTGTGTGTGTAGTTGTAAGTATGTATTTGCATGTATATATGTACACACTTGCAAAATGGCAGTGAAAGTGTAGCACCTGGCTGTCGCTGAAATATTGCATACCTGCGTGAATCTGGGGCGCCTAAAAGTAGACAAGTGTGTGCTTGATTTTCGGAAATTGCAGCAACAACAGCAACGCGTTGACGTATATGAGCGTCTGCGACGCTGAATACTTTGCCACAACGCTTTTCTGAAACTGAAGCTGAAGTGGCATGCCGAAATATGCCCACAGCTACACCCATACCCACACATATAGACACACGCATACAAACGCATATTTATCAAAAATGCTACGCATACAAATTTACTAATAATTCAGCGTATATGCACACCTGCGCCTCCTCGTGGGGGCCGTGCGTAGCAAGTGATTGCTGCCGGAAATTGCTTTGCTCCGCCTGTGAAGCGTGCGAAGAGGCAGAAAAAGCTGCTGAGCGCGCGTTGATTGACGCGCTTTCCTGGCAAGCAGCCATCTTCATACATATACTGCCTTAAAGTATGCTTCACGTATGCCAATAATATTTATATGTCCTCACGACATATGCTCATGTATATACTTATGATGGAAAGTGGCAATCAAATCACTCAGGCTAGAATTATTGTGACAAGAATGCAAAAGAAATTTCAAAATTTCGAAAAAAAATTCTAAGAATTCTAACAAATAATATTTGAGCAGCAATAAGTTGACTTTACAACTCGGGAAGCATTTAAGGATTTGCATTTCTCTTCAAGCGTGGCATTAAAATTCTCAAATGATTTTCATGACATCTTCGTGTGTGTACAGCATATTAAGTGTGTGCGTGTAGTTGTAGGCAATAACCGTGTGTGTGTGTGTGTTATAATTTTATGCATATGACAATCTGCTTAAGGGAAATTAGGGCGCAGTAAAATTATTTATTAGAAGGTGAAAGTAATTTTGCGCGCTGAAAAGTATGCTACGCTCTTACATTTAGACCTATATTGTCTACCAAAGCAGCTTACGTTGATTAAAATCTTTGAAGTTATTAATATGACTTAGGACATATTTGAAATTTGCATTTTAAAAGTTTGATTGAGCTTGTTTGAAGCTGCCATATAATTTTTGCCGCTTCACCTGTTTATTTAATACAAGTAATTTATGCGCTATAAGCTGAGAGGCATATTATGTGATAAATAAAAATTATTGCTCGACTCGATTTAAAAAATTTAATACCACACAACAAAATAATTGTTTACTCTTTACTATTTTACAGATGATTCGGTTGACGTCACTTCCGAGCCGGATGATCAGGATATCTCAGTCGCAGCGGCCTCGCATAATCCCAACAAGGGGCAGCTGGAGGTGCAATTAGGTGGCGCAGTGACGTTACAGTGTCCGCAAGGTAATGCATCAATATCCATTAATTGCCTTGAATTGCACCATTAAATATGTTAGAAACCTATTATTCTTGAGACTTAGGCTTTATTTATCGCTGCTTCTGTTAAAAAGACTTTTCCAAATATTTCCTTCTTATGTAACATTTGTTTTCACATATTTTCTTTAGGTTCCTTAGGCTGCTGGTCGCATTTAGATCCGGTAACCGCACGCTTACGTGGCTTAGGTCACGGTCTAACCACACCCACCGGTCAATTTTCACTCAAAGATGTTGTCTACCACGATGCGGGCACCTACAAATGCATCGGGCAATCGCCAACGAATAAGAAGAAGCTAGAGGTGCTGCAGACGGTGGGCGTGACGGTGAAAGGTAAGTGGAAAGTCTATTTTTTTTACTAAAGTTGGATACTATTGAAGTGGTAAAACGAGCTTTGCGTTTGGAAAAAAAACTAACGTTTGTCGATAAATAATTATTGAAATAATATTTGAATCAATTTTTTAAATTTTATAATCTTGAAAATCTTTATTACTTCGGGTTCTATCGTTTTGAACATGACCTCGCACAAAGCCATTTGAATAGTTCTTGGCCTTTCATTTTTTTAGAGTATACGCCAGGTATGGAGTCTAATATTACTGGTATCGCAGCTGCGGCTGTGAAGTAATATCGCATTCCCTTATATTGAGCCATATTCGTTTTTCCACCATCCTGGTGCTTATGAGTAAAACTTCTGTTTTGACTCACAGAAGAGAAGAGAAGATTGGCATAGACATATATATGAAGTTCCATATGAGTGGGCTTAAAACTAAGCCTTGGGTTACTCCACTCAAGATAGAGTGGCTTTGGTGCGTCGTACGTATCAAAAATTAGTCTTCTATTTTTAAAATAACGCGTGATAAAGTTAGTGACATCAAGCGCACTCAGCGCGCAGTACTTTTTCATGCCGTCTTTCGTGCACGTAACCCATTTTGTCGAGCATACACAGAGGTCGGTACGATGAAGATTTTTCAAGTGGTTTATTTGGTTTTGGGAGGAGAATCAAACACTGCATATACCACGTGTAGGGGAACACTTTTTTCTTTTAACAAGCATTGAACATTTTAGCAAATAATTGAGGTTTTGAACTTATAGCTTCCTTCAGTGCTCTGTTGGGTATGCTTTCTTTGCTATGGCCAAAATCTGTTGTGAATCTGCAGCTTCGTTTCGTCGCTTTGCATAGGAAAGCCGATCGTGTTTCGGAAATAATGTTTCGACAACTTTTCTCATAAAAGATACATCGTTAGGCTGCTGACTATTTTTAAATCTCCTCGGCCAACCTTAGAAAGAACTTTTGTTTAGCAAAACACTTTTTTTTTTTTTTTTTTTTTCCTTCACTGTGATATACTGGTAGCTGCAACTTTTCGATACCATTTTTCAATTACTATTTTTCCTTATGTTTCAAAATAAGCCTCAGGGTCGGCAAACTCCTTCCTAATTCCCAACACGCATTCTTTTGAGATCTGAAAGTAGAAAATAGCCGTTGATGGGCAGATCGGGAGAATACGGTGCTTGTGATAACAATTCGAAGCCCAATCCATGGAAGATGCTGCCATTGTCTACAGTGGCTTCTAACACGGTGCATAGTGTTGGTTAAACAATACTAGTGTCTTTCAAACGGTCCAATAAAACTGCTCCGAATCATCAACTCGTCGTTGGTTTTGGCCAAAAGTGAACTCGAGCTGCAGCCACCTTGCACAGAGCATTCTCACACCCAAATATTCGTGAATGCTGTGATGTACATATTCTGTTGATATCTTTAGAGTGCTTGCAATCTCGCACAACTTCATTTTATGATTATCCAGAACTATTCTGTATACTTGTTTAATGTTTAAGTCGATAATAAGCTCTTTTAGGCTATGTTCATAATTTTTGGTGATCATTGCGCACACTCAATCTTAACATACCAAAACCTGATGCTTGATTTTCTTGAGGCAGTTGCTGGAAACTCGCGTCATCTCTATGTCAGGCCTACTTTTTATTTTTCTTCTTTTATATAATTTTTCAGCAAGATGAACTGAACCCATTTAAACATATACGCCTGTCTGTTCGTCCATTAATCCAAATGTGAACTTGTCCTTCAGTAATTGAGATATCCGTCTGAAATTTTGCAGATTCTTTTAAGGCATATTTTGGACTTGTAAATGTTGTTATAGCTACCATACAACTAAGGTCAAAGTTTTTTTTTATTTCTTTATTTATGTATATATATTTTTTGTTTCATTTTTTATTTAATTTTAAGTTATTGTTTTTGGTGGACTATCAAGTGTCTGACTCAAAAAATTGTTTGAAGTAAAAATTTATAAGTTTATTTGCATTCAACCGCTGTAAGTCCATATTAAACTAAATTAATTTGAGCAAAATTATTAAATTTAAAGATTCCCATACATAAAATATAAACTCGTTTTCCAACCGCCTATTGAAAGTGGTTAGCGCATGAAAATGCAAGCGCTCGCGACTTCAACTTTGAACCTGACACGCCGCGCATGTCTCCAATTCTATGGCATGCAATTACTCGCTGCTAGAAGCATACACACAAACATAAATATAGTTGCTATGAAGGTGTGAGAGCGCCTCAACGTAGCAGCGAACAGTCATTAAGGTGCATGCATCGATAGGTATTACAGTATATAGTATAGTATATATGTATGTACATATAAATATATATGCAGGTGTGCTATATGCATGACAACGCACATATTAACACAGATACTGTGCTGCATGTCCTTGCATAAGTATGCGCTTGTGCTCCAGTTGCACCTAAATTACTTTTTCCGCCAGTGCGGAGCCGCCAGCATCCACCCACACACACATACGCAATACATATCGCCATATGACTACATGCATACAACCTTATATTTTACAAGCATATCGCTTACACACTGCAATAGCCTGCAAGTCAATATTTCCGGGTCAAGGTGCAAAGGTCAATCGTGTGTGTGCTGCGGCACTGAGTAGAAGAAGGAAAAAAAATATGTGTTAAATAAAATATAAAGTGTGTGAAAGTAAATTTTGCTCAATGTCCGCGCAGAGATCAAAGCATCATTAATTTTGTAGGTCACTATTACATACACAGATACATATACTTATACACACATATGCACATAACATACAGGTGTGTCGAGCATAGCGAGTGTTTTAAAGCTGAAGACAGTTCATAGTTAAAATGAAACGAAATTTAATTAAAGTGACACAAGTGCGTGTCAAAGGTTGCACTGAAATGTTGAAATTCATATACTAACCTACATCGATAATACTATATATGCGAAGGTGGGCGCTTCTGTGTCATAAAATTAATTAAGGATTAATTGCAACTTCACAAGAGAACAAAATTGAAATTAAGTGCTTTAAAATACAAATTTAAAAATTTAAAATTTACATGCCAAATAATAATTAATAACACTTATTTTTTTTTTTTTTTAGAAAATATTTTTCACCTACAATAATTTTCAAACTAAAGCAGAATATGTAGCATACATTTCAGCGCTATGGTAAACTTGTAAATACTGCTTTCGATTCATCAACTTCCAGAGAGTGGTGAAGGAACCCGGAATCTTAATTCTTTCTCTAAATTGACAGCAATGCATTTAAGTAAAAGTTCAGCAGGCCAAAGCTTGACACTGGTTTATTGCCACGTTGGGGTGTTTGAAAGCAAGAAGTTGATTGGTCCCAATTAATTGATCTAAATGATATTGCTGGTGTTTTCACGACAGTTTCACTAATAAAATAACGGGGCACAAATATGTACAGTTGTACATTAAGGCAACTTTATTACGATAATGACAATAATTTGGAAAATATGGTTCGACCAAGAGTTCAATGTTAACTTTCACAATTTTACTACTTTTTCGAAGTATATCAGAATTTTGAACCAAACTTAAGGCTGTTCTGATCTGTTCCGCTCTACTTTGTGAAATACCATTGTATATGAAGCTCTTTGTTATTTGAAGACGAAGGTTCAATCGAAGCATCGTAAAAGTAGCCTTGGCAATATTGCGAAAGTTTAGAAAGCACTAAGAAATCTCAATTTATATAACTACTATTTTATTCATAGTTTGTAAAATTATGCGATGCGTGGAAAATGGCGCTGTCTAGTTGAAACCAAATGTCACCGAGTTCGCGAGCTTCAATTTCAGGCATCAAATAATGATCGCCATTGACAGTTTCGTTCTCACTAGCGAAATTTTTGAAAAAACGTGGATCGATGGCAGCTCTTGAATATTTTTGCTTGTTTATATATTCATCGAGCAAGAAATAGGCCTCATCGCATGATGAACATTTGATTAAATTAAAAGTTTTTAAAATCAAATATATGCTGAATTTATCTCGCTATTTCATACTTTGTTATAACTTTTATTGGTTTTAATCAATTTCAATTGTTATTATATTGAATACTTCGTCGGTGGTCATTTAATTTATGGCTTCATTTTAGCATACGCAGTTCTCTTCACCCCTTAAATTAAGTATATGAAACAAATTTCTCAAAATTATTATATATGTAGTCTACTTTTAGGCGAATAGCAGGTTTTGGGGTCCATTTTATGTTTTTTCTGTTAGATATTTTACCGGTAATATTATCTCCAACTTTAATAAGAGTTTTTCCAAGTTTTTTCAAAATTTTTACTAATTTGTACATACATTTTTTTTTCTTATTTTAATATAAAGATATAAAATTTAAAATTAATGTGTATATTTGTATTATTATTGTAATATTTTTTTTTCCTGAATATATTTATATATTGGTAGCCAAACTTTCTTCGAAAATAACTTTATAACTAAATTATAGCACATCATCAGGCGCACAGGGGCGGCTATTGCTGTTATTAAGCTATTTCACTTGTTTTTAAAATATTTCTGAACCATTTTTCATTAATATTACAACACCAACAACACAAGTTATTTTTAGATAAAAACAAAACAGCATTTCTATGCTAAATTCGACAGTGTTTTGATATAAAAATTTATTTGCTTTAACAAATTTGCGCAGTTCGTCTGCTCACAACCCCAAAAACTTCATAAATTTCATAAAAGAACTCCGTCACTCACAATTGAGTGCAAATTGAAAAATAACTAATTTGGCTGCCGCAGCTCACCACTCAATGAAGTAGCCACTTCTGCTGATTGCCTACAAAAGCAGCGCACAGTTTGCTTCATTTGCTCTATAGACATAATTTAACTGTAGCACAGCGTGATACACATATGTAGGCACTCAGTTGTGCAAATTAAGTGAGTAGTAGAAAAATACATGCCACTTCTGCCACAAAACGCTTGACTTCATATGACGTAAGTGCACTGCCGTCGCGATCTAATCGCGCATGGCGAGCAGGGTTGCTCGG